GACATGTCGTCGACAGCACAGTGTCGGCAGATCCACGTTTGTAGGCTGCAGACCCGGCAGACGTTTTGATCAGCCCGGCCTGGTGGTGAGATTTTGGACCCGGGGGTACTAAAAACTGCTCTCATCCCAGGGTGCTCAGTTTCGCTCTATCCGATCGAGTAAGGCTTCCAGAAAGGCCCTCAGGTGCGCGGCCTGCGGTGCCATAATATACCTCGCCAAGGACGGCAAGGTCCTGAGATGAACTGAGATGGCAACGGAAAACTGACGCAGACCCCTGCACTGTAGAGCTAGGCTGACAGCGTGCGGGCCTTTATCGGCTCATCAGGGCCACCGCGGGAACGTCGCTCATTGGCTACAACCATGGAAACGGCACTGTAAAAACCTGAACTCTGCGTTCATGTGCGATTTGAAAAATAAAATGCGCGCAGAACTCGCAGTCACTCACCTGAGCTCAGTCCCGTACAACCGTCATGTAAACGGTTGAAAAATAAGCCCGAGGCGAATAAGCCCGGGCTTATTTTCCTCATGTAAACGGCCCCTTACTAATCTTCTAGTACTAAACAAGTTATACTTACATGTATAGCCAAGTAAAGGGTGAAGTGTAGTGAGTCATGACACTTTTAGACTTCGTTTGCTTCGCACCACGCAGTCGCAGTCCTAGATCCTGTCGACAAGTCCTGAGTCTGAGTCCATAATCATACAGCGTAGGTCTAGTACTACACTACAGAGGTAGTACTGAGTCTGTACTGTAGAGCTGGTAGAGAGTGTAGTAACTACAGTAAGATCGGGCGCCGAAGAACGCAGGGGCTCGAGCGCAGCCTAGGAAAGTTCTTAAATTTTTGATTCTAGCCAGACCGTTCTTATTCACACGCGCGCGGCGAGTCGAGTGACATCATGACGTTTGTCATGTACATGTACAGTCAACTTCGCTTATAACGACACTCGGCGGGGCATCCGAAAAGTGTCCTTATTCGCGAAGTGTCGTTATGTATTACATGTATACAGTTGGATGGGACTTTGCTCTGGGCATGGAAATTCTGTCGTTATTCGCGAATTGTCGTTATATCCGAAGTCGTTATTAGCGAAGTCGTTATTAGCGAAGTTGACTGTACATGTACATGAATGATTGTACATGTAGTGCAATGTAGTGCTTCTAAAAACTAGTGCCAGTAGTGGGTGTCGTAAATGGGAATGACTGTACGTGTAGCAGTTCGTTCTTCGGCGAGGTGTTCTTCGGCGCCCGATCTTACTGTAATACTATACAGTCAACTAACTACTTCGCGGATACAGTCAACTAATACTTGGCTAATATAGTAATAACGACTGCGGATATAACGACAATTCGCGAATAACGACAGCATTTCCATGCCCAGGCCGCCAGAGCAAAGCCCCTTAAAGGGGCACTCCGGCTTCATTTTCGACGCCGAGTTTTCGATGCCAAGACGAAGGTAGGTGAAAGAGAAGACCCCTCGAACAAGAACGAGTCTCCAGAAGCGAGCGAGTCGAGCAGGAAGACGACTTTTGAATTTCGTCGAGCGAGCGCTGATGACGTAATGAGGGATTAGCTTGCCAGTGGAAATGCATCTGCGCACATACATGTACATTTCACACACTTTTTGGCCAATTTTCAATCGAAGAGGAGGTTGTTTGCTATGTTCTCCCAACGCCGTGAGCGATCCCGTCTTCTATACCCTTCCAGGTACCCTGAAGGTCCTCCAGAGGAGAATTTATCTCCACCAAAGCGTTGTTGATCCGCAAAATTCGTCTCGAGACATATTCACCCAGTGCAGTGCTGATAAATGTAGAATGTTGAATCTTTGATAATTGTCGACGATGGAGAGAGAGGTTGATAGCCGCTGTCGCAGGGAAAGTGAAGCTGCTGGAAGTAACAACGGGGAGCTTGTTAGCATCACTTGATAAAAGCAGCTTGACGGAATCGGGGAGTACTGACTATTTGTCTCGCCCTCAGTTTAGTGAATTTTATGACCAGAAAATTATTCGATCAGGATTCCTTCTACAAGATGTGTAGTACAGGTGATTTCTGAACTTGACGATATGGAGACCGACCAGTACGGCAGTAGACCTACCAACAACGTGTACCTGCAGGAAATTCACCCAAGGCTATTGCTAATGCTATCCTCCTCAGTGGCTGTTGTTTTTTTAGTAAAAATATGTTCACTTCTCTCAACATACTCCTGCATGGCAGCAAGAAGGTGCGCTATGGAATTCAACACCACAATCTTCGCCCAGCTGTGGATGAAGCATGGTCAAGTCATGGCAGTACATATACTTGAACCAGATGAGAAATTGAAGTTCATTTGTGATGCGAAGTTTGACAGCCCCAGACGAGTCAAGCGTTGTCTTTTGCCGTGGCACAAGTTGCTGAAGAATCCGAGATGGTCTTGGAATTATGCACATGAATACTACCAGAAATAATGGTGGCATGACACATTGTGGAATGGGACAGCTCACGGAGAATACTGGAATAGCTCAAGTATCTCTAGGTGATTGTAAATCCTGTTCTGGCTGATAGCTTCGGCCTGCTGCGCCCGTCCATGTACAATGATGGGAACATGAATTTCTGTTTTCTACATATTTGCCATCTACTGTACTGTGGTATTACAGTTGCAGGTCCCTTATATAGAAATATGTTCAACCCCCCTCCCACATATCCACATAAATATGAACTAACAATTTCACTGTTGGACTCGCCGGCGGCTAGAGAGCAAAGGGTTAATTTATAGCAAAGAAAAGCACCAGGGAACTACAAGTTATGCTATAATGTCCACGAACAATTTCACTGTATTTGAAATAATTTTGTTTGATACCCTGATAACTCTGAAACTTTGCAGCACTGTGGATTATATGTGGATACAACATTTATGGAAAGAACACATTGTTCAAATAATTATAGCACTGAATTGTTGAGATAGTGAGCACATTCCAATCAGTACTCTACATAAGCGGTGGCAATCGTTAGGAATAGGTCGTGAGTTGTCAGAGTGCTCTAGTATATGAGAGAATGTTTTGTTTGTCTAATCGACGGCTCGTTCGAAGCCAGAGTTGTTTGAACTTGTTTCAGTCGACTTGATTCTAGACAGTAGTCGAAGGAGTACTATGAAGTATACACCAGGCGTAGTCCGTAAGGTATCTCGTGAGAATTCTGTCGGTACACAGCAGGTATCAGCTTACACAGATGGCTCCTCTCTGTTTCTTGAAAGCCTGTATAGTTGGACTGTGGCTCCAGCGATTCCCTTCTCAGAGCAGGTACCATACCCAATACGGTCAATGCATATTGGACGGACCTGTGTGCACAACAGAAATAGTGGAGAGAAATTTCTCAGCTCATGAACACATCAGTGAATTTTGAACTGCCGTTCAGTGTTTGTGGCCATCAGTATAAACCTATCGACTATGAGAATAATGTGCAAAAAAACCTCTATAACTACAGCTGGGCCCATGGAATTAGAAATCATCTAACTTAGGGAACTGCCAATTCTGGTTGGAGTTGCGTTCGAGGCCTGCAATTCATGATGGCTGTCGTATGTTGCATTGACCAGAGATCATATAAAACGTCCATGCCACATTGAAACACGCGCTACTTTCGAGTACTTCGGTATCCCCCACCAAATGGGCATTCGTTCCCGGGGTGGCAGGCGTCACCATTCGTTATGCCTGGATCAGATTTCATTGACCCCAACTGTCATGAAGAATCATTTTTACTTTGACTGGATTTCAGTACAAGTTGTAGAACTGCAGAATCAATTTTGTTGTATTTGGGCAACCATTTCTCTACAAACGCTCTATTTGGAAAATATATTTATTTTATAAAATACATGTCCAAATTCCACATCTACCCAAATCGGATTACTTGATCACGTATTCAGTCCTACACGGACTGTTTAGAAAACGCCAGGGAATAGGAATTTGCTAACGAGAACTCCAGGCCAGGGTACTAGCATACGAACAAAACAAGATAAAAACTCACCAGTATACTTGTAGTAATTCATGTCGGTGTAATATTCACGATAAGCAACGAGGCACCCTCCGATTTGGTCAAGCTGCTTTGAAGTCTGGTTGTTCAGGTGATACAAACGGGCTCCCCGTTCTTACTTCCAGCAGCTTCACTCTCCCTGCGACAGCGGCTATCAGCCTCTCTCTCCATCGTCGACAATTATCACAGATTCAACATTCTACATTTATCAGCACTGCACTGGATGAATATGTCTCGAGACGAATTTTGCGGATCAACAACGCTTTGGTGGAGATAAATTCTCCTCTGGAGGACCTTTAGGGTACCTGGAAGGGTATAGAAGACGTGGTCGCTCACGGCGTTGGGAGAACATAGCAAACAACCTCCTCTTCGATTGAAAATTGGCCAAAAAGTGTGTGAAATGTATGTGCGCAGATGCATTTCCACTGGCAAGCTAATCCCTCATTACGTCATCAGCGCTCGCTCGACGAAATTCAAAAGTCGTCTTCCTGCTCGACTCGCTCGCTTCTGGAGACTCGTTCTTGTTCGAGGGGTCTTCTCTTTCACCTACATGTACCTTCGTCTTGGCATCGAAAACTCGGCGTCGAAAATGAAGCCGGAGTGCCCCGGGATCCGCGTTAGCATCACTTGAATGTTCAGAAACACACAAGCCTTCGCTTCCGCAGGCCACCACTATGCGCCAAAGCCCCTTCCAAAAAAAATAAAAAATACATATTAAATAAATGAGACTTCGGGTATAACGACACTTCGCGAATAAGGACACTTTTTTGATGCCCCGCCGAGTGTCGTTATACGCGAATGTGACTGTAGATCCACCAAGTACCAGTACCATGATCTACACTGTACGTGGATCTACTACTAGCCGTACATGATCATGATGACCAGTCTACACGAATCGGCGGCGGCCGCGGGGGAGTCTATCGCGGTGAACTACACTACACGTACATAATATTATGTATACGATAGTATGGTATACACTATACAGACTCAGTACAGTATAGTTCTGTTGACTTCTGTTCAGAGTCAGAGTTCTGTTGCGCTCGTGGCTTATGTTCAGTTTTGTTGAGCAGTGTGGAAGAACAGGAGGAATATCAGTGTTTGGAAACGCCAAGAAGTAGACATGCTCGCGAGGATCGCTCTCCTTCTGGCGTGTGGCCTGGTGAGTACCAATGTCGTACGTGAAGTAGCGAGCACAAAGAAGAACTTGCCGTGTTTGTTGTCACTCGTATTGCTGTTCTGCTGCTTGTAAAGCCTAGCTCAAATCACGACACAGCTAGCTCCCTCATGAGTCATGTTGCTTGGTCCTGACTGTCGCTGGCCTGATTTGCATCTTGCCTTTGTTGTTTGGCTGTGCTGTCGGCACCTGCGTTCCTGCGTTCATGCTACTAGGTGGCAGCCGAGGCTATTCACTCTACTCGTCGCCCTCCGGCAGAGTTCATATCTTCGGGTGAGTTGATTTTGCATTGTTGTATGCTGTGCTAAAATGTTCTAGATGTTCGTGCCGTTTGCTCTGTCGTGTGCTTCCGCGTTGCGTTGCTGATCGGGACTGATCAGCTTTCAGTTCTAGACCGTACTAAGCTAGCGTGTGTTAGGCAAGCGAGTCAGAGCTGGAAGCAATCATTTGTAGACTTGCTTTCTCCTTCCATCTGTGATTATTTATTTGCTTGCGTAAGCGATCCTAGGGAAAAAAGCAGTTTCGCTGCTGTGGCGCGTCTGTTGGCTGGCGGATGTGAAACAATGCTTGTGCGTGTCGGTGACGAACACCAGCGCTCCTCTTCTCTTGTGTGTATGTGTGTGTTTGTGTGTGGTGTTTACTGTCGATGTACGATGTAGATCTCTGCGTACTAATCTACAGGAAAAAAGAGCAATAAATTCGACTACATTAATTTTTGGAATAAACTAACTTAGCCAGCATCGGCGATTAGGTTCTTGTGCACAAAGAAGTGAAGCGAGGAGAAGTCTGTTCATTGTTCGCTCAAGAAGCGAACGCGGTCATCATGAACTACTTTCAAGTGCAAAAAGTAACATTAATTTTTATCCTTCTTTGTGCGGGCACTCAGTAATGGTGCGCGCTCCGCTCTCCGTTCCGCGTGGCGGTCGGCAATGATCTTGACGTGATTCGATGGGTTGTTAGGTGGTGGGCTGTGATGCGAGGAGCTAGGTGGGATCGGTGTCGTGTTGTAGTACAAGTACTGAAGTAGATCGCACGCAGGTGGTCGCTAGCTGCTTGTAATCGTGTAGCTAGTAGACACTTGAACACGTAGAGATAGCACTTATGAATTTTTATGTTATCACTACTTTTGCATGGCTAGGCTGCCTGTAATACTGTATGGCTTGGTGTGGGGACTGTGAATAGAAAGGCTGAAGTAACCATCCCAGCAGCTCTCTACTGGAACTGCTAAGTGCTAGCTCAGGCATGGCTATGTTTAGGCACTGAACCTCCACTGCCATACTGTATTGCTATTTCTAATTACTAAAAAAAAGAAACCATGGCGAGGAGACAATAATTTGATAACCGCAATCAATACGACAAGCTGAATCACCATTTGTGTACACTTTATTCATGCAATGTAAAACAGTGGAGACACTGTGCAATAAGGGGCCATCCGTAAATACCGATATTTATTTAGAAATGAAAACTAGTCGTTTCTCTTCAACCCCCCTCCCCCCCTCCCTCAAAAACGAACACATACAAACGATGCATAGTATCGATATTTTTTCTTTTATTTTCTGGACGTGCCCACACATACAAACTGTGCATCAATATTTTTCGAGAAACGAACAGGTGCTCAACCCCTAAACGACTAGTTTTCGTTTCGCAATAAATATCTATATTTACGGATGGCCCCTAACACGATGAGAATATGATGAAATAGTGTAGAGAATAAAAAAAGAATTCAAACAAGTTTTCGTACAACAGTCATCAGGAATCGTCGTTGCACTAAAGGACACTGAAACAAAATTGAACTACATGTATTATAGAAATCTAAGTTTTTAGTTAGAGAAATAACACTAAGAACAACAGCAGTGTAATTTACAAGTGTGAATTACACAATAAAAGCGAGAGCAAGATGTTCATCTGCTTTGCACGGTCAATTTTCCTCCCATAAGCGCATATACAAATGTGTGCGGAAACGACGTTCTCTGATAAGATGTGCAACTCTGTATGACAGACTTTTCAGCAGGTCCCAACACTTGCATACAACTTCTACTATGATTGTTCTTTTTAGTGTTTTCCTACACCTTCACATGTGACAGGCTTTCTTCTTGACAGGTACTTCCACAACTAGCCTTGCATAATTTTTTAGTGCTTTCATTCACCTGGTCCTTTACACATGACAGATTCTGTTGACAGGTACTTCAGTATGTGGACAGTGTGGATGTTTGCGGTGTGGGAAGCCTGCTTTGGTGGTACAGTCAGACCACATCCATGAAAATATCCAGACAGGCCAGGGAATGATAATCGAATACCCGTACTGTCAAGAGCATAATTATAACCTGGGGGCTTATATACTCTTCATACTGTATGTATGCATGTGTTGTAAATCGGTGACCAACGATTTTCTTGCGGATGGCGAGGGATCCGGATAAGAGAGGACCGGATAAGCGAGGTCTGAAATAATATTAAAATTAAATCATGTTGAGCATTTCGACATACTCTACATGTATCATGCTGGTGTGTTCTACATGCTGCGTACTTTCTCTCACTCCTGCATAAAGAACTAATTCTCCTGCACGATGGTATTCGTTTTAACAGGAGTCGATTGTACATAAATTGCACTGATCAATGTTTTCTTCTCTCTCTCTATTTCAATCTCACATCTCTCTCTCTCTCTCTCTCTCTCTCTCTCTCTCTCTCTCTCTCTCTCTCTCTCTCCCCTGTCTCTCTCCCTCCTCTGTCTCTCTGCCTCCTCTGTCTCTCTGCCTGTGTGCCCGTTTGCCTTTCTTTCTCTTTTGCTTCCACTGGCACTGCAGAGTGCTATGGGCTAGCGCAGCCGTTCTTGGCCAGCATCCAAGAGAAACTTCATGAACGACGACAGCACATTCGAGAAGGATGCCACGACGAGGCGTATCTTCTAGGACAGGAGGCATTGCTCAGTGAACGCTCGCACAATCGGTCAATTGCCAGAGCCTGCTCTTTGGACAAGCACTCTGATTTGTAAGCTTATTGGTATCAGGAGAGAATCCGATACCTAGGCTATACCCCCCCCCCACCCTTGCCACAGTAAAGGGGATCTGTCACCTTGCATAATTAAAAGTGAAGTGAGAAAGGATTGCATGAGTTATTGTGAGCAACGTCGCATGTGTGTTCTTCTTGTGAGGACATTTGCGCTGAGTCTGACAGGGGTCTGTCTCTCAGGATTACCCCGATCACCCTGGCGTGAATGCGGTCATCAAAGCAATGAGTTGAGTATGTATCAGGACATTAAGCAATCAACTTACGATGATGCTTAGTGACTGGAATGCGAGAGTGCTTCTCTGTGGTCTTGAAATGGCTTTCCTAGGAATGTAGGGGCCGTCCCAATTTTTCCTCACTTCGCAATTTATTGCAACCATACGAAACGTAGACTTTCTGAGACTATGCCAATCCGAACCGAAAGCTCATAATATTAACCCTTAGGCGGTAAGCACAATCCGCGTTAGAAAGCTACAATGCCATGTTATAGTGCACTTACAAAGCGCAGTCTGGTGCCGGCATCATGTTAGGCAAACTCATTATCTAGTGCAACACCCATTCTAGCAGTCTCTTTTCGTAGTGTTACAATCCCGTGCTGGGTCTTTCCAAGGTGAGGGTACCACTCTGGGGGTTGGCTTTCAGCTGCCAGCACTATACTTTTTTCTCAAAAAGCAAAGATTCCACTATCCAATCCTACTCCACTATACTTGTCAAAAAATCCCCTGGCCCTACATGAAGGGAAAGTGCTCAGGCCTTGCAGTATGTCCTAACCCTGAGCTGAGCCTTGTCCACTTCAAAGCACAGCTTGCAGTTACTTCGGTTAGCGTCGTGTTGGGGGGGGGGGGGGGGGGGGTGCTGTTCGTGCTGGTGCAGCCGGTGCTGGAGGCAGTGGAACTTGGACACCAGCCTGACCATAGAGGCGCTTGGGTGGGGGCTCATCCACTGGAATTTCAGCCAGTTGCCGAACACGGCTGGACTGAAAATCGGAATGCCGACTGTATGCTGTGTGTGATAGTTGACTGGGGTGGCCAGTACGCCAGAATTCAACGGATCGAAAGGAATTTACTGCAGCAACAGCAATCAAATCGTAAAAGATACTTTTCCATGACTCTCTGGTTCGCCGTAGCATGCGATGAGTTTCAATTAGTCGAATGTGTTGACACCGGCCGTACTGCGGTAATTGTCCATGATGCACCGAGGCTGAGGAATGTCAACTTGTAGAACGTGACCCTGTCTTTGCACCCTTGGTTTTCCTTGAAACCATGGCTGTGTTGCTTCCCCTATGGATGGAGGAGAGAACTGATACACGCGTCTATGTCTTTCCACTGCACGTACAATACATCTTCCTTGCAAATATAGTGGATCGTCCCGAGGATCTGCCCGCCTTTTGAACTCTTTCACCTTTCATTTCTGCAGGAAAGCCGATTCGATTATGTCGTATTCCAACAATGCTCTTGTTCAGGTCCTTCAGGGACGTCGGCATCTTCTCAGACGTGAGAAAATGATCACACTACACGGCATGGTGCTGGTTGCCTGGACCTTCAACCAATAGTATCACCACATGTGCCAGTCCACCTGTTGCATTGCCCTGGCCAGTATAAATTTCGAAATAGCACAGAATGGCGCTAGCTCTGTTGCAGAGGGCAAATGCTTTGAACACCCCCTCCCCCCATTTAGACGGCTTTGCTGGTGTATACCGGATAACAGGTGCTCGGCCCTTGCACCGAATCATCTTTCGTCCACCACGATGTTTTGGTGACGGCTTGAACAACGTACGGCACTTTGTGTGATGATGCTTGATCTTTCGGAGAGGGTCCTCCGGGTTCTTAGTGCTATGATCCACGAGCTACAGAAAGGACATCAGAGCCTTCGATTGCTTGTGAGACGATATCATAAGCCTGGCATAGCCACCAGCGAAGAGAGAAGTAGTTTTGCAGTAATCAGACAGTTCGGGACGAGGAACGTACGCCATATAGAGAAGTAGGGCGAGATGCCTGTAAATTCCTGCATTTGTTGCTGTCCATAGGCCATCTTTGTTTTTGTAGGACGGCCGCTGGTCGATGTGAGCATCAGCATAGGCATCAGTGAAATTGAGGATGTCTGCAACTATTTCAGGTGTAAAATTTAATTTGGAGATACTAGCCTCTGAGTCAACGACAAACTTAGGAGGCAGTTTCAGTCAAGGTTCACTTGAAGGCTAAAACACAGGTATCTGCTATGGTCCGTCATCTACGACATCCATAGACGACAATTGTACATGACCAGGTCTAGCACTGCGTCCTCGGCCTCTTCCGCGACCTGCCCCACCACCAACACCACCTATTGGTACGTCACTGCCCCTAGCTTATTCTGCCTCTCATATTCCTCTTCCTCTCTGCTGAACACCACGTCCTCCGACTCTTGGTTGTACTCGGCTACGCAACGGAACAGGCTCATAATCATCATCAGCATTGTCGTGCACCTGATCATCTGCTGATCCGTCATCGGAAAATTCACTGCTGCCATTGCCGTCAAACCCTCGGTCCAGCTCTTCCTCTTCCCTTGACAACATGAAGTGACCTTCAAAACAGTCGGAACTCTCATCAGGCAGAGGCTCATTGTCGGCCTCGAGGTACTGAAAGAGGTTGAGAGCTTTAGTCGCGTCCATTTTCAAACTACAAGTAACAGGTATTGTACTTCGGCAGCAAGTCGCATGTCGTATGTAGGCATGGATTTGGTTCTGTAGCGGGGGTGGGCCCCTGACCGGGAGGGCCCAGTCCAGTCTCTACCACTGGATGTGTCACTATGCTGTGAACGCAAACTGCACAAACATTTATGGATCCAGGGGCGTAACTGATCCCCCTTCTGGGGTGGGGGGGGGGGGGGGGGTGAACGGCCGCATATGTGTAGGATGGCTGGTGCATGTCATTCATGGTCATTATGTGCAAGTTGAACCTAGGTTGAAATTTTTATGGGGGGGGGGGTGTACGTGCCCCCGTGCTCCATGCAAGCTACTCGCCTGGGTTCCATACAAAAAACCCGGATCCAAGTGGATCCGAAAGTCAGCGTTGTCATGGCTGTGAAGTAACACTTTCAAGCCATATTGTGTTAACACCGTGTACATGTACTATGTTGAATCAGGATTTTCCCATGAGAGTGCATATTGCTGTATTCCCTCCTCCTATAGTACATGTTGCACGGCCGTGATAAATGCCGACACTTACTGTAAACGCAGAAACCTTTGCGGTCCTGAAACGTTCGCGATTTTCGCGATGGGGGTGAAGTCGTGAAAGTAAGTGGGCGCGAAACGCAAACCTCAGATTCGAGTCAATCATCAAAATCGACTCCAATCGCAAACATTTGCAGGTGCGAATGGTCTGCCATCGCAATTCGTGAACTAAAACGGGCGCACACGATTCCGGGTTTACAGTATGGACTAGCCCTTACAATACATCATGTGCAATCCACCTTCATCGTGTGTGTTTGTGTCTTGTTTGGGCCGGTATGTACGTCCAACTCTGCAGCTGCAAGTACCTGATGAGTCATCTTCCGCTCGGCAATTCCAACTCCAAGTCGTTTGTGGCGCAGGCAGGCATCACGCAGAAAGTCTGTCACAGCCGTCTCAAGGACGTTGTCGACATTGTAGCCGCTGAGGTGGCATCGCTGACTCGCGTCCTGGGAAAGTGTGCGCCGAAGCACGCGTGCTACGTCTATGAGATGACCCAGGACTACAAACATCATGTGAGTTATTATTTATAGAAAAAGAAAATGATGATTTAATGATTATCTTCACTGGTTTAAGGGAAAGACACAAATGGGAAAAGTCTGAAGAAAAAATTGACTGTCAACACCAGGACTCGAACCAGGGACAAATAATTATCTCTTTTTCTTTTAGTGATTGGTGTAGCCCAGAGACCGTTTAGAGAGTGTTTGAGGATGTATGGAAAAGAAAAAAGGACAAGGATCTACAAGTTACGCTATAGTGTCCACACCACCAGTTACTAAACAATCAGCTCATGCGATAACATTGCACGAGACTGACCGACGATACTGATGTTCTGCAACTAACTGGCTAACAGCTCTAGCACATCTTGGATGCGCACTCCAACAGCCTTCCAACTTGGAAGGTTCTAAGTAATAGAAATAACATGAGAGGGGAAGGTGAGCGCAACCAAGAGCTACAGCTGTTTGCCAGTTAGTTGTAGAACGTCAGTACCGTCGGTCAGTGTCGTGCAATGTTATCGCACAAGCTGATTGTTTATTAACTGGCGGTGTTAGTGTACATTATAGCATAAATGATAGTTCCTTGATCCTTTTTCTTTTCTATAAATTAATCGTTGGCTCTCCATCTGAGTTTTTATTATGATGATTATTCTCATATCCGTCCCAAATGGGACTCGCGACGGGAGAATTGACTGTGAGCATGTGTGTGTGTGTGTGTGGAATATAGATTGCGGGTTCGATTCCCGACGATTATGGTCACACACGTCTTTCTTCTCTTTCTCAGACTCTTCCTGACTTTTCTTTCATTCTCCTGGGTGGTTACCAACAGCCAGTGCATGCCGGAGTATGTGGTGTGATGTGTGTGCGGGAAAAAAAATGAAAAGACCAAAAATAGGGATTCACTGGCCAGAAAAAGTCACTTCAAAATAGCTGTATGGTGTAGACCAGGCTGAATAGTGACGGTCAATTCTTCAGCCTTGCAAGCTGTTGAATGGTGCAATCCCAGCACAAGTTGTTATGGCTTCTGCCGTAGCATTGCTATCATCGCCTCCGGCGATGGGCGTCAAAGGTCAAGGTGTGTGTGTGTATGTGTGTGTGTGTGTGTGTGTGTGTATGTGTGTGTTTGTGTGTGTGTGTGTGAAAGAGAGAGAGAGAGAGAGAGAGAGAGAGAGAGAGAGAGAGAGAGAGAGAGAGAGAGGGGAATCAAACTGAAACAGGGAGTCTAGCAATAAATAATTTACGAATAGCTGTACTATACAGTATCATGTAAGAGCTGTAGAACTTTCTCTAACGGCCATCTATCGTACACCATCTATCGTACACCATCTATCGTACACTTAACATATGAAGAGCTGAGATGCAAAACCAGCTAAGCACCAAATTGGGTAAACCAGATTTTCAGCTCAGTGTATTCAAAAGCTCAAGGGGCACCGCCAGGCGAAATTTTACATTCACAATCTGACAAATACCTTTTCAAAAGTGGAAACATAATGGATCTAGAGATAAACCGTGCATAAAATTCATCACACGGGAACGAGTGAACAAGATGGCAAGCAGTCAGAAAGTTGCTTCCTAACTCGTTCCCATGTGTTTTCTTCTATTTTGCATTATTTTTATTTTTATTGGCCCAGTATCCGAGATAAAATAAATCATTATTGGCCAGTGCAACCAGGTCCTTGCTTGCGGTTGCTCACAGTTTCGTGTCTGAAAAAAAAACACTCCTCAGACGGCATAGCTAAAACTGCTATTCACTACGCTTGAATTCTCACCTGACTGACTCACGAGTGCCATCCAGAGCGCAGCACGAAAAGCCCATCGAACCTTTCATTCGGCAAATCTACAAGAAAATTCTCGTGTGCTCTGGATGGCAGGGTGAACTCCCACGTAGGGAGCGACACACGATTATCAAACCCTTTCACACGGTCGTAGCTCATTCAGTTCTCAGAAAACCACTACTTAGACCGAAGTACTCATCAGTTTCAGGGGAAGGTGCACACGGAGAAAGTCTGAAGAGAAAATTGACTGTCACTTCCAGCTCTCGAACCAGAGACCCTCGCTTATGGCCAGGGATGCTCTACCACGACGTTGTGGTGTGGTCGTCATCCAAGCAGCGACCAAAGTGAAAAGTCTCAGCTGTCGCCTCTAACAACCGTTAAAGTGATGAGAAGAAAAAAGGATGGTGAATTGCAACGCCGGTAACGTTTGTCGCTGGCATCACTTGGGCGAGAGTCAGGTTCGGCATCCATAATTTTATCGTGATTTGAGACATTCAACAGGGCTAGATGATCTGACGCATTTGTTTGTTTCAATCGGTACACACCTCCTTCACCCTCATCAAAGACGAGGGTCAGCTTGTCCATAGCAATTGGGAAGTCAGTAAAATATTATGTTTTGCTCTTCTTGCGGCTCTCAACCTGCTGAACACCTCTACGTTGCAGCGGCAAACACACATCCTCCGGTTTGGTGAAGACCAACACGGAAACCGTGGAGACCAATGCTTGTGTAAATACCTGCCATGCTGCTAGCATGGTGCTTACCTGTGATAGTCACTGAAGCACGGCTTGTTGGCTTGTTGCTGGATAGAGAAGAACAATGAAGGAGCAGACTTTCCCTGACTGTGCGCACAGTAGCATCCGGGGGTTTTCTACTCCTTCTCATTAGCCCATGCGGAGGTGACAAGTTACGTCGCTCGTATCACTTTCAACAGCCGTGGACGGAAGGACCTGTGGTGTTTTTTACTTGGGTGCTGGCTTCGGTGCAGTTGCATTGACAGGTGGTGCGGAGTTGCCTTCAATATCACCCAGCTGCTAGACAAGCTTTACTTTGGGCTCACATTGGGAAAGCAACTCTGGTCTTTCCAGTTCTCCAGGGTGGGCCTTCTTATATTCGTCCATGAGGGTGAAGTTGTTCATGACGGCAATCTCAATGAGGTCCTACATGCTTACCTTCCAAGATGTATTTTTGACCTAAGGGCCGGGTTCCACTGTGGCTCCGCTGCTCGTCTTTCGCGGCTCGAAACATCATCATTACCATAGTGACCGCGGCTCGAGCTGGAGCAGCGAGGACGCGGCTCACCGCGAGCTTTCGCTATGATTCTTGACCAAAAACTGCGAGCCGCGGTCGCGGCTCGACCTGTTTCCCGTACTTTGCATTGTTTTGTACGCCAGAATTTTAAAATTCAAAATTTAATTTGTTGCGCAGGCCAGAACACGAGGATTTTTAGATTTCGCGCGCCCGCGCAGGCAGGTGAAACGTCATCAAAAAGTGTGGACTACGACCGCGGTACCGCGAGTGTCAGTGGAACCGCGCTGCTCCGCTGCATGCAGCCAAGTGCCGCGGAGCAGCGGAGCCGCGGAGCCGCGGAGCCGCAGTGGAACCCGGCCCTTAGAGGAGTTCTCCTTCTGAAACTTAGTCGTGCAGTCCTGGTGGACGATACTGTCTGCTGGAGATCTCCAAGTTGAACAAAGGCTTGCAAGATGTGCTGCACGATAAGGTTGCGCTCAGGTAACGCGCAACATGACGCGCAATTTAAAGTGACCATGATGATTGGGCCGCGCGCCACGCAAATCATAATTGCACCGAGAAAAACCGAAACGTTTGATCGGAACCTCGTGAGGGGGAGATCAAAGAAAAAAGTTTAGAAGCGCATGTCAAGGTCTATGTTACCTTCGTCATCAACATTGATTCCTGTGCGTTCCCTTGCTTAATTAGTGTTCAGTAGTTCCAAACTTATGTTCCCTCTCTCAATTTCTCTCTCCCTCCCTCGCTCGCTCGCTCCCTCCCCCCTCCCTGTCTAACTCGTTCTCTAACGCATGCACACCAACATACGTGCCCTGGCCTGTCTCTGTTGCCTTTCCCTTTCGCAGGCCGCCAAGCACATCCGCCACACGTTCCACGTGACAGGCCGCGCCAGTGACATCTGCACACGCAGTGCGTACATCCCGGCGCTGGTCAGGCCGTGTGAACGCTTCGCAGTGGCCCAGCGCGCAGTGCAGCGCATCCAGGCGCAGTGGGAGTCCATCTTCTCGTCATTGAGCCCAGCGGACTGCGACCGGTGAGTGTTCTGTATAACATGTAGTTTTACGTGTGATTAAATTTCGGTGCCAGGGACCTGCCAGGTTTCAGTTGTATTGTAGAATCAGGTGACCAGCCTAACCTTGACATACAGTGCATACTCTAGTGCCTTTTAGGTGTGATCTAAATTTAGGTGCCTGAATTCTCTAGCAAAATTAACGAAATTAAAAAAAAGCCGAAAAGATCGTGATAAAATAGCGATTTGAAATTCTATTTTGTGAAAAGAAAAGGACCAAAGGTTTCCAAGTTACTGTAGAACGGGTAATTTTAGCGACGTAAAAACCCTAGCGAATTTAGCGATCGACTCCTTTTTGCTAAAGTTTCAAGTCGCTAATCCGTTGAGACAGTAGTGCACTGGTGATCCGTGAGTAAAATCGCTGCAAATCGCTAAAATAAAACGTCGCTAACCGGTTGACAATGGGAAAACGCTAAAATTAATAGTCGCTAAAATTACCCGTTCTACAGTATCCGTTCTTTGTGTCCAACACTGACAAATTTAAGCAAGATGCCGGTCAGTCAGAACGTGCACCGATGAGCACAACACAGACTGCTGTCATACTGACATGAGACTCTACAATGGATTTGCTTGATGCGCTATGGTCTTCCTCGGCGGCAGGTTGGTGAAAATCCATGATTTTCCCCTCGCTCTATTGCAGCTCATCGATATCCGATCCTGAGTTGATCTTGTTATGGTCGATCGGGGACTCCTCAGAAGCCGAGGACGTCACCAGCATCTCCAGAGCTACAGCTGCGCCGATATTACGCACCATAGTCGATTCTCCTTATACCAAAAGAGATTTCTTTCCGCACCTAGATGCACTTCTTCAGGCAGAACGCGGCCTACGCACTTTCGAATCGTATAGTTATAAAAAATCTAGACATAACCCGATCGATTTCTCTCCGTAAGGGACAGGAAAACATGTTAGGTGTAATCAGCATTTTGGTATGAGATTGTGTGCTGAAACATGGTTAATGGCCTGAAGTCAGCTTAGTGAAAAGATGAGCATGTGGGACCTCTGGTCAATTTCTGTGTGTGTGTGTGTGTGTGTGTGTGTGTGTGTGTGTGTGTGTGCGTGCGTGTGTGGGCGTGTGTGCACGTGTGTGTGTGTGTGCGTGTGTGTGCGTGTGTGCATACTTGTGTGTATGTGCACATGCATGCGTACATGTTTGCTTGTGGATGTGTCTCTCATTCGCTTCACTATATCCAGGATGCTGACTGCAACAACTGGCGTGACAGACGAGGCCACTACACCTTCAAGCCCCACAACACCTTCAAGCCCCACTACTTCTCCACCAACGGAGACTGCCAGAGAATTCGCCAAGGAAGTCTACGATAGAGTGTGGGCAGTCGACAGTGCCACTGTGTCTTCGGTTAAGCCCGGAGTATTTGACGGGAAGCGCTATCATGAGTGGCTGCAGGGCCTCAAGGCTACTCCAGAATCTCATTTAGCTAAGGTAACTGTCTAGACCATACATCCACCACAGGCCATGCAGTGCCTACACCCATTGTTTTACTTTTGCTTTCCTTGCGTTTTGTTTCCCCTCTATCCGTAGGTATGTTCCTTGTGATAAAATATAGTAAATTTCACCGTTCCCGTGAGACACGGCTGGAAGCCGTGTTCTCCGCATCCGCAGGAACGCAACGACCCTCTAGTACCCTCCTGTGATAACAGATAACGATGATAATCCAAAATTGGCACCTGAACGTTTTGGTGCCTCGCACTTACAGTGGTAAATTAAGTAAGGCATGCCATTGATGTTTCCCGATATCTGTAGGTCTAGGGCTGCGCCGCAGAGCCTTGGCGCGTACTTTACAGTGGAACCTGTCAAGGTCACCACTCGGATAGGGTGACCACCTATCCTAGAAGACCCACTGAAACCAGGACCAAGGGATGCTATTTCCAGTCAAATGACCCTAGATACGGAGACCACCTGGTAACAGAGACCACGTATTGGAGATCCCTTGAGCGGTCGTCTTAGACAGGTTTCGCTGTACTTTCGCGATTGGATCTCATTGAGCAGGACGGTGTAACGTTTCGTTAACACTCTCCAACTCCACTGCGGCATCATATTTACACTCGCAAACACTTCCATCCCCGCACAGGCTCTCAGCTCTACGACAAGAATAATCATAGCCAGCAATCGCATGTCATAACGTACAGTAAAACCTGTAATGGCGACCACTCGGATATGGCGATCACTCGACCATGGCGACCACTCGGATATGGCGATCACTCGACCATGGCGACCACTTTTCCTTGTCACGGACGCATTCACATTCAAAACACCTCGGATAAGGCGACCACTCGCTTAATGCGACCGACGACCACCCACCCGCGACCGCGTTGCACAGTGCTAGTCATGTAAATGTACGCATTGCATGGTGCACCAGGCATTGTAGATCTACACATCAGTGCAGGAAGTGTAGATGTACATGGTGCATGCACGACATTTGACAGGTCTGAGGACCCCAGCCTTGCCCAGGCACACAGGCCGTGCTAGAGTAGCAAAGGTGTGTGCACTGTGATGCACTGATCAAAATGATGTACCGTATTTTCCGGGGTATAAGCCGCACCAGGGTATAAGCCGCACCCCCCCCTTTTTGAGGCAAAATATTGACCAAAAGTTGGTGTTCAGAGTATAAGCCGCACCCATAAACCAAGATTTTTTACACTCATTGACAAATGGCCTTTCTACAAATTTATTATGGTTATGGAGCTAAATACCATGTTAGATCAGATTATGAAGTGTTAGTGCACCACAGGTTGCTGCAGAGATGTTGGTGTATTGCTGTGTTGACTAAATCACTCCATGTCATCTGCACTATCTTCAGTCTCGCTGCCACTGATGCACTAAAACTAGTAAAAGTGCCGGGATAGCAACACAGGCGTGAAGCTGAGTCGAATGACATGTCACATGACGTCAGCATGCATACTGATGTATGCCATGCTAAGCATTCTTTCGCGCAAGCATATTCGGTGTATAAGCCGCAGGGGCGATTTTGGTCCGATTTTTAGCGAAAAAAAGTGCGGCTTATACCCCGGAAAATACGGTATCACATGTGGATATGATCACGTGACCCACTGAACCTGGATAAGAAGACCACCTGGCCACGCCGACAACTTTTTCTCGTCCCTTGAGGGGTCGCCTTAGACAGGTTTCACTGTACAGTCCGTATCGCCTATAAGGTTGGCGGCTATAGTAATATACCGGATATAGTGATCAATTTCTCAAATTCATTTTCATTTGCCATAACTAAGTATACACAGTTATCGCGTATAGTAATAATCGTCTATAGTAATATATCGCCTATAGTGATCAAATTCATATTTCAAAAGACCTTTATTACATTATTTTTGCATCGGTTATAGTGATTGATGTAAAATCAAGCGATGTTAGAGGAGAACAGGGTGTTACGTCTTCGTGAAGAACTTGTCCAGTGAGTGTTGTTTGGTGAGTTTTGCTCGTACAAGTTGCCAAATATGCCTCCATCGTGAGGAAATGCTGATTTTCTGTGTCAGGAGCTACAGCCAGCTACATGACATTGTACATGTGTGTAGTGCGTATGTGCACGGCGCGCTGAGTCGTTTGACACCCCACTCGCATATATTGCATGCAGTATCGGTCATAGTAATATATCGCTTATAGTGATAAAATGCTCAGAATCAAACACCAACGCTATAGGCGATACTGACTGTACATTCAAAATCAACATAATTTTGCAAATCGACCTTTTTTTCAGCATCACTTTTCAACAAGGACGAAACAAAGTCGGCCGACGAAGCCCAGAGGAAGAAAATCACCCTCTCCACTTCACCATCACGATACTGACATAGATACGAGACGAAACAACTAAAAAATCCACAAGAAAACTGATCGGCCATCATCGCGCTGACTTTGGTCTGAGAATTTCGATCAGGATCAAAAATGTACGAGGAGCACTCAAAATAAGCTACGGCCGTATCACTCTCTACTCCTTTTTCAAGACACAAAAGTCGACTCTCCACTTTCAAACCAGGAACCAGACATACCAGTGGTCCTTTTCAGCTGCTCCGCGAGCGCAGGAAATGTTCACCAAGGGGCGCAGAGCAGCTTCCATTCCAGAAAAAGTGCTAAAATACGAGTAAGACTGCATGCCTGAGTACATGAGTACATGCAGAACATAGTCAATTTCAGCGTTTCTGCTCCCAACAGCAACTTGCTTCGACTAGCTACAAAGATTACACCAAAGGATCAACCAACAACCGTTTCCTTCATTTTTTTGACAGGTGGTTTCCTTGTGCTTGGCCCAGCACGCCAAAAATCACACCTCGGAGGAGTACAACAATTTCAACTCCCAGATGTCCTCGATTGCTGGCCATCAATAAATACCGTATTTCCGGAGTATAAGCCGCACTGTGAACACTCAAATTGTACCCAACAAAGGGGGGGGGGTGCACCTTATACTACGATGATCAAATTAGTGGTGATAAAATAGTAGAGATGTCTGTATTTCGTGGCACAACAATGGGATTGCGGCTTGTACTCCTGTGCGGCTTATACTACGGAAAATACGGCAACTTCCATCATTTCGCCCATTGAGCATCATCAGGGCAAGATGGAGGTGTTCACAAGATGACTGTATCACATTGTGTCTGTGTGTCCACGTGTGCTTATCCACATGCAGGAGAAAACCGAAGAACCACCCACAAGTCCTGTAGCCGAAGAGAAGCCTGGCGCGTCGAAGACGTTCAAGTGGCCAGCAAAGCACATCCTTTTGACCGTCAGCGGATTCATCCTGGTTGCGGGTATCATCTTTACGCTTATGATGTACTGCACAAAAGAACGAAGACAGCGCATAATCCGTCGTACTGTGTCGCCGTTGTCTGATGCACCGCGGTTGCCGTCGAAGGGTCCGCTGGCCACAGAGGATGAGCGTGATCTGGAGGCTATCATGTACGTGAAGCAGCACGGCTTTGAGAACCCAACCTACTCGTTCTATGAGGATCTTGAAGGGGACGAGGTGAAGCCGCGAAGCGAAGCGTTGTAACTGGATGTGTTTGTGTTGGTGATGGGTGTGCTGCAATTAAGCCAACTCGCCCTGTGACACGGGCATTCTCTGTTGTCTCTTTTGTCTGCTTGTCTGTCTGTCAGTCTGTCTCTCTCTGTCCGTTTGTCTGTCTCTCTGTCCGTCTGTGTCACCATCCCCATGCCCCCCCCCCCCACCACACAAATATACAGTCATGCACATGAGTGCACCTGCTCACACAGACAAACACCTTCGCAAGTACACTCATATGCGTGCACGTGCACAATAATGTACGCCCCCCCCCCCCCCCCAACACACACTCACACACGCACACATACACATACATACGCAGACTTCTCTCTCTTTCTCTTTCTTCTACTGTCTCTCTGTCTTTCTCTGCCTATCTCCCTCGGCACGTGTGTGTGGTGTGTTTGCATCGGCTCCTTTACCGTCTCCGCTCCGTCCTTGCATGTTTTCTAAAGATGTACATGACTTTGTACTTTTCTTTTTCTGGTTGCATGAAGCATGGCTGAATCTCTTTGCCACAGACACAGGCATTACCATCCAGCATTACTACAGAAACAAGTATCACAGAAGCAAGCTGGCTGGGGACTATGCAATCCCAACCCCAGTCTCGTATAACAGTTATCATGTGACTTATCTCGTGCATGGAAATCCCCTAGCCGTGGCCTGTTGCAAGGAGTCAGCTACCCAGTAGTGTTAAGAAGCGGACAGTTGCACCTTTTCCGGCATCATCTTGAGGCAGCAGTTCCGTCGTTAGCCTGCGGCATAGTGTATTGCGCCTCTTTTCTCCAGTCGCATCTCCGTATCCCCACGGCTGTCCTGGGACTACTCTGCGTGTCCTTTCTGGTCTTTTTCTGCATGCCATGTACTTGTATTCTGTTTTCGGATTTAACGTTGTATCTGCCATACCTGTGCCTTTGACGTGCATGTGCCCTATCTTCTTTTAAGAATACAGTACAGTATATTCTCTTTCTGTCTTTATCTCTTTTAATGTCACATGCATGCTCTCTGCTCTGTGTTGGTGGTGCTTGTGTATTCCGTTGTGTTGGGTGTACATCACAAGCAAGTTTGGCTGCATCTGGATTATCATTGCTTCTTTGGGAATCTCCTGCTCATGATTTTGTTTGCAATGATATCCTTGGATTGTGGTTGCTTGGTGGACTTGATTAATGGCAGGTGTGTGTGTGTGTGTGTGTGTGTGTGTGTGTGTGTGTGTGTGTGTGTGTGTGTGTGTGTGTTCGTGTGTGTGTGTGTGTGTTTGTGTGAGAGAGACAGTTATCTGGCGCAAGTCTTGATCTGTCTCATTCAGATCTTGTTCGCTATCGTTGCTATAAGAGAAAATCTGTGGGTGCACATCCAGTACATTTGCAGATTTGCGAGCTTCTCTTTCGACGGGCGTATACATGGCATACATGGTGTCTGTGTGTGTGTGGAGGATTGTGTGCCTGTGCGTGTGTTGTGTGAGTACTGGTACAAGACGGGAAGAGACAACCATGGTCACACACCGAGATGATACCGCCCCGCCCTGAGATATCTATTACAAAGTTCATTTTCAATAGGGCTTGAAAGTGCTACGTCACAGCATAGCAACAATTTCAAAAATTCAAAAACTGGATCCACTGTGATCCAGTTTTTGTATGGATCCAAGCACATTTCAAGCGGTCTTACCCACAGCATGGTGATGTAGCCAGTGAAACTGACTGATTTGGCTACTGGGGGCGGGGTTACAACTGGTGGCAAAATAAAAGTCACACCTGCATGCGACATGAGTGGGTTGCTATGCACCCACATACATGTACTTTATAGGCAATAGCAAAGTCACACCTTAGTGGATCCAAAAATAGAAATCTGATGTCAACTTACTACTCCCTGGCCGTTTTGACGTCATCACTTTCAAGCCCTATACATGTATGCGAGTCGCGGACATGGAAATCCAGTCAATTGACCGGGGCCGGAGCCCTCAGCGCGTACAGAACGTAAGTCGTTGGATGCAGTGCGCATGTTGATCCAATGCGACCAGCAACAGTGCATGCTACGGCTGCATACATGTAGCCAGCACCCTGGGGCCGCTAGACGTGCGACCGGATTTCCATGTCCACGACAGTACATGTCAGTGGAGTCAACTGTAGACTTTTTTGGATTCTCGCAGCTGACGTACGACTTCCTGTGCTGTGCATTTCCCAAGGTTCCAGGCCACTGAAATAGGGCTTGAAAGTGATGACGTCAAAACGGCCAGGGAGTAGTAAGTTGACATCAGATTTCTATGTTTGGATGTGGCTGTGACGTAGCACTTTCAAGCCCTATTATAGCGAATTTCGTGATAATACCGAACCGTTCCCCATGTCCAAGTAAGTTTGAGCCCACGTGACATGGCCACAGTGTAACTGTACTTCTGTTATAACGAACTTCGACTATAACGAACCAATTCTCCTGTGTTCGTTCGTTATCATTGTTACAATTATGAGGAATCGACTGTATGGACACATCACCATAGTCACCACAGGAAACCATGGTCACCATTTAGCACACTACACTACAAGCACTCCCAAGAAAGAAAACACTCCCGGTCTGTTCCAAATGCATGCTTCATGAATAATTATTATTTGTACAATCACTGAACAGCTTTGACAACGTAGACAAGTGCCAGTACTAGTGAGTACTGTACTATTAGTAACCTAGTTACAGCCGGTTTTTGTAACTGTCAAACAGTAACCTGCAAGGCTGCAGCTAATGTAGTAATGATCGCATTATTCCCATTAATAGTACCTGGTGCGGATACATGTACATGTGTCGTGATGCAGCTCTCTGGCCTTGGTGGTATGGTGGTTGTAAAGCCCACTCCGGCACTCGTTGTCGCATGTCCTATGCTGTCTAGCCAGTCCAGTTCATGTACAAGTCATGTACAATCGTCACAAAGCCAGAAGAGAACAGAGACAGCCGGCTAGGTCATTATTGTTGTAACGCTGCGTTTCATGCACTTAAAGTGTCCAATCGTCATGTAGCTCACGGTTTCCGTCCGTACCACCACTGGCACTAGCAGTCGCAGTGTTCAGGTGCACAAAAGCACACACAGAAGAGGCAAAAGGCTGTGTAGCTGTGTAGCTGTGGAGTGACACTGTATGCTGAAAGGTATGGAAGTTTGTTATTGTTCGAACTGTCTATTTCAATAATAACATGACTGTACATGTACAAGTACATAAGTTATAATATAACTACTTTCAAGTACTATTATCACTCCCTTGACACCGATTTTTACTGACTGGTTGCATTTTTTGAAGCTCCGGAATTTTTGGCGAACCAGGCGTGATTTTGACTCCACGTCTGTTCTGTCATGTCCCAAACCTATAGAAGTGCTGCCGCAAAGGCTGCCGCAAAGGTTCCAGCGAGGCGCAGTCCCAGCCTTGAGTCCACGCCATCCAAGCTGTCAGCAACAAGCCGAAAAACGCAAGCCAGCACACCACCTGACGTGATTCGCGCGCAAGTGTCCCTGGAGACCGATAGCAATGCCAAGGGAGAGGACAGTGTTCAGAGTCTCCTCTCTGACATCCTGCGGGAGCAACGTGCTCTTACGGAGCGCTTCGATGTCATGTCATCGGAGTTTTCGGCCAAGATCGATGCTGTAATGGCCGAAAATCGGGCATTGAAGGAGAAGCTGGACATCTTCGAGGCTCGCCTTACTCGTCTTGAGAGTACAGGTACGGCAGCGTACCGTACGAACGGTGAAAAGGACATGCCGCCCCCGGAAGGGGTTGTTGGCACGTGCAACGTCGTCAACTTTGCTGCTTTGGTGCAGGAAGAAGTTGACCATCAACAGCGCTTCAACAACGCCATTGTTCGCGGCATCCCGGAAGCGGACAACAGCCTATTTGACGACTGCATCCGGATCCTGAAGATAGACTCCTATGAAGTCGCGCACGCAGAACTTTTTTTTTTTTTTTTTTTTTTTTTTTTTTTTACATTACAAAAGTCTTTATTGCACTCAGAAAAATAATAAGGCACCCATTTTGATAGTCCAGGGGATGGCCCAC